CTGAGAGAGAGAGAGAGAGAGAGAGAGAGAGAGAGAGAGAGAGAGAGAGACTAAAGTTGGGTTTGCTAATTATGTCAAGGAGATGCTGATAATTATTAGAAACGTAAAAGGAGAAAGAGGCTGTACATTAAAAAAGAAACTTGATTTTGCACTTCTGAGTAATTTTAAAACCATTTCAACTCTGAAGACAACACATACAGATGGAATGAATGCATCTCGAATTATGAGGTGGATATGAGCCTTTGGAGACTGGGGTGGAATGTTAAGATTTAGGCGTGACATGTCCTTACAAAGCCTCATATACTATCCTTTAAAATACTTGCTATATCTATCTTTTTAAAATTTGAAATCCGATTCCCATTTTATTGGTAAAGACCTGCTACTCAGCTAAAGGGTTTTTGTTTGTTTTGAAAGAGGATCTCAGTTGTAACCCTTGCTGATCTGGAACTCACTATATTCAGTCTTGAAGTTAAGGAGATATTATGTTTTTTATGTATTGTGTGTATGTGCATGTTGTATATGTGTGGGTGCTTGTATGTAATGTAAGGTACGTGGAAGTCAGATGACCATTTGTAAGAGTTCAGTCCTTCTACTGTGTGATCCTGTGATTCAATTTAGCTTCTCAGGCTTGGTGACAAGTACCTTGATATCTTACCAGCATTCAAAGAAGTATTTTGAATGAAAAAATACATACATTTGTTTTTCATTCTGTGTGAGTTAGAGTATGTCCTTAATCCAGTCTTTTGAGAAGCTAAATCAAGAAAACCATGAGTTCAGGATCAACATGGACTAAGAAAATTTTCATAAATTGAAATAGTAGCTTTTGTTTCCATCACAGGAACCAGCCAAACTGTTAATGAAGGCATAATAAAATATACCCGTGTCTTCGTGCTAATACTCTTTTTATAAGATGTCCTGTTCAATATCTACTTTTTGTATGACTGAATTTGATATAAACAGAGATATATTTACTTAGTCTAGAAATATATCTAATTCTAACATACATAAAAGCACAAATTCTGATACATTAACAAACTATATATATATATATTATATATATATATATATCTGTTATATATCTGTTAGAACAAAAAGACATATGTATGTCTGTTTGTTGAAGGAGCTGCAGTCCACGTTCCTGCTGCCCCCGGCTCCTGGCTGCCAGCTAGCTTATGCCCCAAAATAATTACACGGGAACTGTATTCTTTTAAACACTGCTGGCCCATTAGTTTTAACCTCTTATTGGCTAGCTCTTACATATTGATCTAACCCATTTCTAATATTCTGTGTAGCACCACGAGCTGGCTTACCGGGAAAGATCTTAACCTGCGTCTGTCTGGAGTGGGAGATTCATGGCGACTGCCTGACTCGGCTTCTTTCTCCCAGCATTCTGTTCAGTCTACTCTGCCTACCTAATTTTCTGTCCTATCAAAGGCCAAGCAGTTTCTTTATTAATTAACCAATGAAAGCAACAGATAGATATAAGACCCACCTCCATCATCGGTTAGAACAAAAACAATGACTTTTCCTCATCTACATTTTCTTATCTTAGGGGTGATCTTCTATATGCTATTATGTTATAGAAGGAGGGAAAGAAAACACAAGAGTCTATCAGTCACAGACATGACTAGACCTTAACATTCCAGAGAGTGGGAAGGATGTGGTTTTGAACATACCATGACATGGGAGCGCTTGTCCTCCCAGGCTGTCGGTATTACAGGGTGAGATGGGTATGTGCATATATACACACTGACTAAAAATTTGAACATGAAGTCTCCATTATTTGTTTGGTATTATAAAAATTGAAAGAAGTTCATGTTATTGAAAGAAGTTATGTGTTGTGGAATATTTCTTTACTTCATAAAGATATGTCTCTGCCTGAGGCACCTTCTGATTGGTTTAATAAAGAGCCAAATGGCAAATAACTAGATAGGAATGATAGGTGGGACTTCCAGGCAGAGAGAGGAATCTAGGCACACAATAGATACCAATGTGATGGACACACAAAATGGGACAGAGGTAAAAGTGACATGGTAGAATGTAGAGTAATAAAAATATGGTTTAATTTAAGTTATAGGAGCTAGTTGAAAACAAGTCTAAGCTAAAGGCCAAACTTTCATAATTAATAATGTCTCATTGTTGTTATTTGTGAGCTGGTGGCCCAAAGAAAAATCTTACTACATCTATGTATGGTGACTACCATCCACACAGTTATTAAATCATTAATAACTAAAAGTAATAAATCATTAATAACTAAAAAGTCTGTTGGAAGCCTCTCTTTTTTTCAGATACAAAGGGTACAGGGATGAATTTGATGTGGTCTAAAACTTCCAAATTAGTTGAGAACACAAGTGGAATAAAGGAAATGATAAGCTAATATGATGACCTGCTGACAGGCTTGGAGGTGTCTTTGACAAACAGGAGGGAGCTCATCAATGAAGGACTGCATCTTTATACTAACTGTACCACATAGAAAAGACAAATAAAGAAATGCCTCTGCATGATGGTATGGCATGTCCTTCTGTATATGTGTTGCTTTTATTAGTTAATGAATAAAGCTGTTTCAGCCAATGGTTTAACAGAGTAAATCCAGGCAGAAATTTGAACAGAAATAGAGAGAGAAAGAGTAGATAGAGTCAAAGAGACACCATGTAACCACAGAAGGAGAAGGATGCCAGAATATTACTGATAAGCCACGGCCTCGTGGCAATAAATAGACGAATACAAATGGGTTAGATTAAGATGTAAGAGCTAGCTAGGAATATATCTGAGCCACTGGCCAACCATTATTGTAATTAACATTGTTTCTGTGTGATTATTCAGGTTTGGGCAGCCAGGAAATGTAAGCCCAGGCTTTGGTTACATAACGGCACCCAACGTGGGGCTTGAACCCACAACTCTGAGATTAAGTCTCTCATGCTCTACCAACTGAGTTACAGTTTATAATTAATATAAGCCTCTATGTGTTTCTTTGAGACTAAATGGCTGCATGATTGAGCAGGACAGAAACTTCTGTCTATAACATGTTCTGTGAAGAATGAAAGAATTCGTCATCCTTGCTTAGTCAGACTTTGTCTGACACCTCAAAGAGCTGTTCAAAGGAAAGGTGTCCTGTCACAGAGGAGAGATGACAGGAAAAGTAATAGTCACTGGAAATGGGATTCTTCTGCTTGGCTTATTTTTGTTAGAGTGTCTCGGAAATTGGAGTTATGTGAGTAATGGCTTTCAGAACTATATCCCTGCATTTTTTACAAAATACAGTTGACTTACTGAACTTTCCCCCCCAGCTCATCCCACTTTAATTGAGAGTTTTGTTTCATTTTTTGCTGGTGATGGTCGGACCACACTCTGACACCAAGGTTCTACCTCTAATTCCCCATACTTAAGTTTTTACCCATGTGCCTGCTTTACTAGAATGCAGTGCCCTAAAAGTACAGCTCTTCCTGATATAGAATCTGGCACAAAATACATTAATAAACATGTATTAAGTGAATATAGCAGAATAAATGATAAAATAGTAGAGTGATCAGCTTTAGTTCCTACTGTGGAACATAGGAACAAAGGTCAGACCTTGGACCTTAGACAGAGACAGAAAAGTCAGCCTAAGTGTCCCATCAAGTAACGAGTTCCAGCTCAGACAGTAATGTATTATAAACTGAATAGAAGTCTATGAGATGATATAGGTACAGAATTAATGAGCAAAACTGAATGTCTAAGGAAAAACATATACTTCTTATTTCAAGGAACTTCCCCCAACAAAACTCTTCTAAACACACACACACACACACACACACACACACACACACACACACAAAACAAATCCACAGCAGAGAAGCCTGTCAAACACTATGTTAGACAGAGGTAAAAATGGGATGCATTAGGAGGCATAGCCCTGGCAAGGAGAATTGTCGTGTCTGTAATATGCTAATTGAACATAAATAACTTGATTCTCACCAAGAACAAAGGATCAAAAATTGCAATCAAAGAACATTCTATAACATGACTTTCACAGACTTTAAAATTACTATTATTTTGGGAGCTGGAGAGACGCCTTAGTGGTTGAAAGCACTGTCTTCTCTTCCAGAGGACCCAGCTTCAATTTCCAGCACGCACCTGGCAACTCACACTTGTTCATCAGTTCAGTTACATGGCTTCTGATACCGTCACACAGACATACATTCAAGGAAAATACCAAGGAACATAAAATAAAAATAAATTACTTTTAAATGCTTTTTTTTTTTGTTGGGGGTTTTGAATGAGGGTCTGATGGTCTAGCTGACCTAGAACTCACCTAAAGGCTGGACTCAAGCTACAGCTTCCTGGCTCAGCATCCCAGCTATCAGGATTATAGGCACAAACCCTGATTCTCTGATACGTTTTAAAATATCAAAATTCTGAAAATTAAGCAAAGGTTTAAAAACTATTCCTTAATCAAGGAGATTAAAGAAAGTAGCCCCAGGCATCATGGCACATACCCTTGCCTTTTAATTCTAGCGTTTAGGAGGCAGAGCAGGCAGATCTCTGTGAATGCAAAGCCTGTCTGGTCAACATATTGAATTCCAGGACATCCAGGATTATGTAGAGAAAACTTATCTCAAAAAAGGAAAGAAAGGAAGGATGGAAGGAGGGAAGGAAAGAAAAAGTTGACACTTAAGATATTTTTGTACCAGTGGGCAAAATTTGAATGAGAAGTAAGGACTGAATTGGTAATAGAGTTAGCTTTCTACCTTCATGTTCACATGGGGCTACATGGTCAAGTGTCTTTACTGGTAGGAAATGTATGTGTGCATGGCAGCTCTGGGCTATCAAATTAGCACTCTCTGGTTCCTATGGCAAGCTTAGTCTGTAGCCCAAGAGTGTGAAGGGCAGAGCCTTTAAGAGGCGGTAAGGGTGATTTGGTGATGCTGTAATACTGGGCTCATTATTCAGAGCCCAGTAAAGTGGTGTCCCTTGCTCATGCACTCTCTTACCCTTCTGCCTCTTGCTGTCGAACATAACAGAAAAATTCTTGCAAGACGCCTGTGCCTTGACCATGGTCTTCCTAAACTTCAAAACTATCCGAAACACATATCAGGTGTATATAAATTCCTCAACCCTCGATGCTCTGCTATAGCAGCGAATAATGAAGGCATTCTCAGAAGACCCAGAAGGGCAGCAGCAACAACAACAAACAGAGACATTCTTCAACAACAACAAACATAGAGACATTCTTTGGCACTGGTTTTAAAGGTAATATAGTATTTTATTTACTTATTTTGTGATTCTGGGAACTCAACCCAAGGCCTCATGTCGTCTATCACTGATCTCTATCCCCCTGCCCCAGATGATATTTTATATCCCTAAACATGAAGTAGGGGGATCTAGTGTTGGGCCACGGATCACACTCCAGCAGCTCTAATTGATAAGCTTGTGTGAGTTCAATAACCTCACTGAGCTACCTGCCAGAGTCCCTGTGAAATTCCAATGGTAGTGATAATTACTAAAAAAAAAATTCTAAAATTTAAATTTTTTTTTGCTGGGGGGGGGGGGAAGAGTTGCATGGGCAGAGGGTGGAAGCAAGGAGACGGGGTGCTAAGTGGGATTGGGATGCCTGATGTCAAATCCACAGAAAATCAATAAAGGATTAGAAAATATTAAATATAAAAGAACTTTATGAGCCAGAGAGGTGGCTCGGTGAGTAAAGGCCTTTGCCAGGGCTGTCAACCAAAGTTCCATCTCTGGGTCTGTGGAAAAGTAGGAGAGGACCAGCTGATGCTGTGACACTGTCTGCCGACCTCCATATAAACACCATGGCGCACATGCAGCTACAGTCACATCATACACATATACATAAACACGCGCGTGCGCGCGCACACACACACACACACAAACAATAAGAAATGAAAATTTAAAAATATTTTTAAAAACTTTACATAACCTCTAGCTATTAGAAAATTTTATTAGAAGTCATTTTCCTTTCTCATTTCATTTTTTATCTTCCTAACTATAATAAAATATTTAATTAGTTCATATATAAAAGACCGCAAAGTAGAATGCATGTAGAGATGGACCTTTTTTTAATACTGAAAGATGAAGTGAGTCTTTTAACAATTTAATACTATTACCAATTAAATATATCTGTTCTGAATCCCAGGTGTGTTCTTGTTAAAATCCGTCAGAAGAATAAGAGAGTGGAAGCATATTATGTACAATTATGCCACTATACTAACAATATTTGATGCTAAGTTCTGAACATAGAAGCATTCAAGTACAAATACAATCAATTTCACCGGCAGAAGTAGTCAAACATGGATATCACAGTGACAGAGACTATGTCACCAAACCAACAACAACAACAAAAAAAAGACAAATTTTCATACTCATGAGGTTGTGGTTGCAATCGAGAGAATTTGTTATGATGAAGAAGAGGGAGGACACAATTGTTTTTTAATTGTTGCCATGACTCAGCTGCATAAACTCTAACATCTTAAAACTGCAGCCGTTCGTTATCTCGGTGTGTTATGTTTTGTGGAGGAGAAATCTGCGTGGGCTCAGCTTTTCTCCGAGCTCACTATTTCAAGAGACTAAAATCAAGGCTATGTGCTGGGTTGCATTTTTACTGGAGAAGAGACTTCCCTTCTAGGCTTTTATAGACAGCCGGCAGGACTGGATTCCTGGCAAACAGGGCTGAGGTCTCTTGTTTTCTCGGCTGTTGTCTGGAGGTGACTTTTAGTTCACGCCCGGAGTGCACACCGTTCATCTCCCAAAGCCCCTTCCGTCTTCACACCAAGAACTCAGGGTCAAATCCTTTGCACACTTTGCCTCTCTCTTAATTCCTCTTTTGCCACCTTTGGAGAAAGTCCGTTGCTTTTGAAGAACGTGTGTAATTAGTTAAGGCCTTCTAAGATAATCTGCCCTTTTTAAGGTCAATGGTTCCATTTAGCATAACTAAGGAGTGACATGTTATCACATTCAAAAGTTCCAAGGAACAGACTGTTGACATATTGGGAATGATCCCAGGGAAGAGTACTGAGCTAACACAATTAGTTTTAAGTCTGCGTCACGTACAGTAGGAAAAACTAACAATGCCCTTTCCTCTAGGGTTTCTGTAAATTCTGAAGGTATATTTTTGGGAGTAGTTGTAACCTAGGTATATCTACACAAATTATGAGTTAAGAAAAGCACTGAAATAAAGAGAATACCCCTTATTATATTTCTTTTTATGTATTACTACAAGATAGTCTAAAGGCATTTGAAATTACACTCTATTCAAATGTATAGATTTTTCTACAGGTAGCGCAATATTGCATGGCTTAAAATGACATTTTGTCTCTTTCATCCCATTTCTGATTTCCGCTCTTAACTGCCAGATTGCCAATCACTGTGTTTTCTCAAATCAGATCTAAAAGCCAACAAAGAAGATAATTAATTGAAAGAACATTTATGTTGATTCTGACAACAAGGGCATCAGAGTTGACCGTCCCAATTTTGACTTCTTAATCACCCCAGAATAGGCAGATTTAAAGGCAGTTTGAACCAAGTTAGAGAGCTGTACATTATAAAGTTGAAAGAGGAAACTGAATTGGACGACTTCAAATGCAAGGCGCAGCATAAACAACAGCCCTTAATATAAACAATAACGGGGGTGTTTGTGTATTTCTAGGCTACTCCCCTTGGAGGGCCTGAATCGGGACCTCCCTCCCCTGCTTCCATAGAGCAGAGGCTTGCCTTAGGTGGGGTTGGAAATGCCCTAGAATGGCTCTTTGTTGATTTTCCCTCATGCTAGAGCCCAGTTCTGCTGTGAAGCAAAGTGCTATTGAATTTGCTCACTCAGGCAGAACACTCAACAGGAAGGAAGGAAGCGGCCATTCTTTCTGGTCCTATTGTCTGACCACCCGGCTTAAGCAATCAAACAGCTCTGTGTGGGTTTTCTTTTTCTTTTTCTTTTTCCCCCTTCTCCTTCTGGTGGGCACTGGGGAAGGGGGCGGGGATGGCTGGAAACAAGCTCTTCGGTTTTTCACTCAGTTTTGTGGAGTGTGAGGGCATCTTTTCATGGCCCAGATTCCGGTACCTATTTTTCCACAGCAAAATATAGGAGGGGGAGAGCCTGCACATTTGAAAGTGCAGCCAGTGTGTAGCGAGGCGTTGGGTTTTCTCTATGGCTGTATTGTGAAAATAAGGAATAGCAAATGTTCCATTTCACTAATGAAACTCAAGACTAGTCAGCAGTTCTGAGTGATGGCATCCGAGGCTCTGAGCCCTTCTCCTGGGTCCCAGGAAGCCCTTCCCCACTGAACTTGTTTTTCTTTCTTCTTTTTGAACAAATAATCTAAGGACAATACCTTGTTTCACATGGCTATGTTGCTTAACAAATATAGAAAGATGTACTTAGAGATAAATATTGTATCATCCTAATAAACAGCAGTGAGAGTCTGAGGGAGAAAAATGACATCGGTTAAAATGAGTAACCGTGATAAGCTAGAGCATGCAATGAAAGCTAAGCTGACTAAATAAAACTAGTAAATTTGTGATGGATACATTTCTCATCCTCTTTTCTTCCCTTTATGAAATGATGTCTTGCTGTGGCCCAGGTTATTCTGGTCTTTCCTATTTAATTGAGGCTGGGCTTGTTCTCATGATCCTCTGGCCGCACCCTCTGGAGTGCTGGTAGTACAGGCATGTATCACCACACTTAACTAAATGATTCTAGTTTTAAAACACATTTATCAAAAGACTGATACCTCACATTATTACTTTTTTCAATCTGAAGTTTAGTGAGCATGAAAAAAAAATTAAGATCTTAAGAGTAATCACAGTGAAATTTTATGGGGGAAAATGGGGCCTTTAGGAACATGAACATCAGGCATTTTTCTAAAAAAAAAAAAAGATCACAGTTGTATTTCACGAACATTAGAAGCGATGTGAAGCTTAGATTACCTTACGTTATTTGGGCACTTTCTGACAATCTCTTAAAAGTATGTCACAGTCCTTCATAAGTAATAACTCTGTTAGTGAAGTGTTGACTGAGTTTTCTGTCCTGCCAGGTTCCCGCAGTGGTTAAGTCCCAAAGAAATCACACAGAGGTCTACATTTGTTATAAACTGATTGGTCTAGTAGCTCAGACTTCTTATTAACTCTTATAACTTATACTAGACCATTATTCTTGTCTATGTTAGCCACTTGGCTGGGTATCTTATTTGGTGAGGCAGTTACATCCTGCCTCCTCTCCGACTGGGTCTGGACAGCAGAATGCAGAATCGCCTTCCCAGAATTCTCATTGCCCCGCCTTTACTTCCTGCCTGGTCACCCCACCTATACTTCCTGCCTGGCTACTTTCCAATCAGCATTTATTTAAAATACAAGTGACAGGGTACAGGCCGTTGTCCCACAGCAGTAAAGTATGAGCAGTGCCAGTGCTTTTGGGAAGAGGCAGTCCTCATGCCTGAGCGACATCTGCAAACGGGCATAGCAGAGGATGCTTTTTCATCCAGGGTTCTAGGGACCTGATACAAAGGGAAGCCTAGGGCTGGGTTGGCTTATGAATTGGGGTCTCGCTCTCTTTTCTCTCTGTCTCCGCTTCTCTGTCCTCTCTGTCAGTCTATCTCTCTGTGTCCTTTCTCCACTGAGCAGCTTTCCCTGGCCTCAGCTACGGCTATGGCAGTTGAGTAGCAATGCCAGACACGTCTTGGTGGTCCACCACTCCTCTCAGGAGTAAGTCACTCTTCAATAAGAAACTTTAAGAGGCGGCTTCATCTGCTCCTTGTGGCGACCTAGAATGTAAAGCTGGGCTCCCAGCAAGCTCTCTCTCCTGGGGTTAGGAGACCAGTTAGTCCTTAAGGGTGCAAAGCCTTAGTCAGTACCTTGTGCTGTGGTATATAGTGGGTCCTGAAGAACCTCAAACTCTAGAATTTACTGTGTCAAAACTTTATCGTTATGGAATTCAGAATGCTTCCTTTGCAATAAATCATCCTTTTGTATCATGGTCATTTTTATTTCTTTCTCTCTCTTTCTTTTTAGAATGGATCCAGTTTTAGGCTCTCTTCCTGGGGATGAGTCAGTGTGGAACCCTCCAGCCTACAGGAAATGAAAAAAGTTTCCAGAGAATAAAAGCCTGAAAGAAAAGATCTATTTCTTCCTTTATAGTTTTTGTCAATATCCTCTCATCTAAAGTTTCATTTGTTCCCTGAAGTTTTAGGTGACAAAAATAGATAGGATTAGTTAGTCTGGAAATCCAGAGAGCTCAAATCTGGTTCCTGAGTTCATAGTTTTGATGCAATTTCCTGCGCTGTTAAACAAGACCCTTGGAACAAATGCTTTTCTTATGTTGTTGGTAGATGGAAAATTCACTTATTCTCAGCCTATGCACTGAAGGACCTCTGTGTGTGTGTGTGTGTGTGTGTGTGTGTGTGTGTGTGTGTGTGTGTGTGCTCAAAGCCTTGGCCCACTTATCCAGTCACTTCTGTGATAGAAAAGAAAAAGAAGTGACCTAGGAGCTGTTGATGACATGGCCTACACTGGGGAAACAGAGGGATCTCCTGGAAAATTTGCTCTAAAGATGGGACAGAACCCCTTTTCTTGGAATACTAGGTTTTGATATAGTAAGAGGTTTAGTTTAAGCCTAAGCCTGTCAGTTCTACTTGTTCTAGGAAAACTACAATGCACCTGTTGTCCTCAGGTTGGAAAGGGGGCAAAATATAATCCAAAGTGTATTTTTAACCTAACCAAATGGTTCTTCCAAAGTTTCCAGCCAGAGAACTAGTCTATAATTTTGAACAATGAAAAATATGTTGTCCAAATATTCTATCTGAACTTTCTCTGACATTCATGAAGCCAAACTCTTGAGACAAAATTAAGACAGGTGGACAGCACTGACTGACTATGGTTAGTCTTGATTGCCAGGTTGATGGGATTCAGAATCACCTAGGAGATACACCTCTGGGTGTGTCTGTGAGGCATTAGTTGAATGGGAGAAGACTCTTCTTCAGAGTGGGGGGTCACTTTCCAATGGGAGTTCAAGACAAAGGAATAAGCATTGCTTCCTCCCTCTTTTTCTTCTTTATAAGCAAGTGGCAGCTACCCTTGCTATTGCTGTTGCTGGCAGCTTAGCTTAAGTCAGAGTACAATTTTGTAGGCCCTCCAATATCCACTAAGACCATTGACTCCTGAGGAATCTTTCAAGCCTTTGGCACGTGATTAGAATTCTAGCGGATCCAGTTTCACGGTCTGAACAGGTCTGTTTCCTTTCCAGTGTGTAGACGGTATAATAATAAAATGACCTGTTGCTGTCATCAAACATCTGGACAAAAAGACCTGAAGAATGGAAGGCTCTATTCTAGTTCACAGTTACAGATATAGCAAGAGATTGATTGTGCTGGTCACTTCACACTCACAGACAATAAGCAGAGAATTGAGAATACATGTGGCTGCTCAACTCTCTTTCTCCAGACAGATTCTTAGATTCCAGTCAAGGAAGAGTGCCATTCACACTGGGTTGGTTTTTCCCCACTCAGTTATCACAATCAAGATAATTTCCCACAGACATTCCCAAAGGCTCATCTTTGTAGATGTGATGTAGATTCAGTCAAGTTGACAATTAACTCTAGCTGTCACCCAGACCCTATCATGTAAGCCAATTTAATAAACTTTCTTCCTACTAGATCTGTTCTTCTAGAGAATCTTGCCTAATATATTTGAACAATGCCTGCAGGTATAGAAGCAAAAATATTCTAAGTAATTGTATCCCAATACTTTGTCATGTGGAGTGTGATGTAGAACATGCATTTAATCCCAGTACTTGGGAAGCAGAGGTAGGTGGATCTTTGTGAATTTGAGACCAGTCAGGGCTTCACAGTGAGACCCTCTTAAAAGGGACATTCAGCAGAACTCCTACATCACTGCTAACTAAATAACTGGTTCAGCTGAAAGATAGCAGTGTCTCCAACAACTCTAGTTCAGTTGACACCCAAAGTTCTCAGGTTTGTCTGTAGTTTATAAAACCTTCTTCTTCCCATCTCGTGAAGACTGGTGGATGAGCTTAAGATAGTCCTCCAAAGACTCATTGATGATACATTGTCCCATAGCTCAGGCTCACCTGCAATAACCCTCATTTGAATTTAAGCATCTATTTAAAGGAAAACTCCACAGGCACACCTGCAGGCCATTCTGTTGATCGTTGGTCATATTACTGTTGGTCTGGGTGCTTTTCTTGGTGTATGACCAAAGATATAAACGACTGGCAGACTTCTTTCAGCTAAAGATGACAGATACTTAGGACTACATCAATCTGAATGGCTACCCAGTTGACGAGAGTATCAAATTTCACATGTCAGACGATCCACACATTTCCTCAAGGCACATCATTCCAATTCAGCATTTTAAAGTCATTGATAATTTGTTGTCTGTGCTGAAAAGGGCTAGAACTCTTTCGTTAAAGCTCTGGTAATGTCCACTGGCCACCTTTCATATGATACAAATGGGCATAGGATATTCTGAGGTCTTTTTCCTGAAGTCACTGTGTATTTAGCCTGGGATCCACACATACTTCTTGCTCTCTATCACTCTTATACTTTGACAGATACAGGGAACCCTAATAGAAACTGTTACAATTAATCGATCTTCTAATCCTCAAAGAGACACTAACTTCATATTAACCGACTCCTTGGCTGCCTCGCTGAGAACCACTTACTCCAGAATACCTTTGTCTGCTACTGCTTCTCAGGTTTCCCCACAGTTTCTTTTCTAGAGGCTCTAGACATAAGCAGCCCAATTTTTTCCCCCATCACAGTGGATTCCTGCTTCTCTCTTCTTTTCCTCCTCCTCCTCCTCCTCCTCCTCCTCCTCCTCCTCCTCCTCCTCCTCCTCCTCCCTTTTCTTCTTCATTTTTTGAGACAGGGTTTTTCTGTAGCTTTGGAGCCTGTCCTGGAACTAGCTCTTGTAGACCAGGCTGGCCTCGGACTCACAAATATCCGCCTGCCTCTGCCTCCCGAGTGCTGGGATTAAAGGTGCACGCCACCACCGCCTGGCTCTATAACTGTCTTTTAATTGCAGCACATTGTTCAGTGTTATAGTTTAAATATCAATGACCCTCACAGATTCATATTTCCAATATTAGTCTACATCTAGTTGTGATGTTTTGAAAGACTGGAAACTTCAGGCGGTGGGAGCAAGCTGAGAAAGTGGGCCACTGGTGGGTGTGACTTTGAGAGTTGTACAGGGTCTCCAGACTACTCTCACTCTGCTTCCTACACACACACACACACACACACACACACATACACACACACACACATACATGCTACTGTGCCTCGTGGTCCTACTACACTGTTGCTCTGCCCAAGTGCATGGGACCAAACAACCACGGAGGGAAACCTTTAAACACAGTAGTCAGCAAAATCTCTCCTCGTTAAGGTACTTTCTTTAGCACTTATCAACAGGGATACAAAAGCCCCAGTGCTAAATACACTAAAAGAGAAAGTTGGTGTTAGAAAAATAGGCTTATCACTGTGAATAAACCTGGCCATGTTGTTTTTAGATATTTGGAACTGGCTTATGGAAGTAAATTGAAAGGGTTTGGAGATATGGGTCATATAAGCTTCAGAACCCTAGAAGCATAGCTAGTGGGCAGTTCTAGTGGGAACTCAGAATACCAGAATGCCAACAGAAACACGGACAATACATACTGAGTTCATGAGGTCTCAGATGAGACCAAGAATGGGGCTGGGAATTAAACAAGACACAATTTGTGTAATGTTGTGCAAAACTATTTGTCTACATGCTGTTCGTGTTCTGAAACTTGATGAGAGCTGGAGGTTAAAGATGGTAGGATTAACTAATTTGACAGAGGAAGCTTCAAGACACGGTAACATTCAGTTAACACTGGCTTCTTTCAGCCAGTTTTACGGTATTAATCCAGAGGCAAGGGAGAGTAGAAAGAGTTGAGAAACAAAATTTGGGCAGAAAAGGAACTTGATTGAGGATGTGGAAAGGGAGACCATGGTTGCTGAAAAGATTAACGCTATAACAACACGCACTAATTACTTTGCAAGGGGATGATAGGAAAAAATGCCCTGAGGGCATATCAGGAATCAATGCTACTCAGTCCTTGTAGGTAGGTTACCAGTCAAAATTGTTACCTTATTTTGACACCCTTTCCCTTGAGACGAGAGGAGCACAGAATAACCTGATCACACAGGGTTGCCTAGGGAAGTCCTGGGTACAGCCACTTATCTACTCAAAGGCTTGGCTATTACTCAGGCTTGCAGAGGACCTGGCTGGGTGTGCAGGCAGGCAGAATGCAAGAGTTGGGGGGTGATTATGGCTTCCCTGGAGATTTCAAAGGAAGGCAGAGGAGGGCATGCAGTGTGGAGCAGAGTCAGATTTCTTGCAACAAGCCCCTGGAAAGGACTGTGTGATCCTGTAAGGGTTCAGCTTAAGCCACATTAAAGACCACAGCCTGTTGGAGATGCCAGAATGCTGAATATACGGCAAGGAAAGCTGCAGGCAGCAAGAGAACCAGCTCCAGGGCGGTGTTATGGACTGCAGTTGGAAAAGGCCCAGAGTGCACATACTTTCTGCCTGTTCTGGATGTTGGATATGTTTGGCCAATTGTATTTTAGTCTTTTTTTTTTTCTATAGCCCCCCCCCCCCGCCCATCAGTTTTGGAATGACGGTATTTTTTTTTCCCCGTGGCATTATGTCCTTAAAATATGTTATTTGATTTTAATTTATAGGAGCTTCCAGCTAAGAGTTAATGCGAGACTCATAACGTGTTTTGAGCTAGGCTTTTAATCAGTTGCTGGAACCGTTAACTTTAGCGATCTTGGAGACGGACCAAGTGCACGTTTCATTAATGGGATGTATGTGAGCCTTTGAGGACCAGAAACACATGTGATGGTCTGAATGTGAAGGTCTTCCGTAGACTCCTGCTTTGAATGCTCTGCTTTCAGCAAGTGACACTATTTTGGGATGCCGCAGACTCCTCGGGAGGTGAGATCGGTCAAAGGAAATAGGCCTTTGGATATAGGACTCTGACAGTTGCACCTGGGCCCGGCTCTGCTCCTTCCCTCTCTCTCTGTTCACTATTAACCAATTCGATTCAGTTCACCCGGACATAAGAAGCACAA